TGACTCATTAAATGGATACTCAAATGTAGGATCTAGTTTTGAAGGACCTTTTTTCACAATAATATTTCGCATTGTATCAGTAATTATTGTTGGCCATGTACTTGGATCCGATCCTATGTCAGTCTCTCCACCTTCCAATAATTGTTCTTCAGTTTTAGATTTGGATAACAGTTCTTCATTTCTGGACTCTTCAGCTGAAGTAGTAAATCTTTGGATGGATTGTGATTGTTCGTCTTTATCAGTTAGTGAAGATAATCTTTGGTGAGATTGTTGTTCATCTTTATCAGTTGATAAAGGTAATCTTTGGTTCGATCGGTCTTCATCAGTTGATGAATAATCACCTTCAGTGCATTGCTTAGAGCTTTCTCCTTGATTGTCGACTTTTTTAAAATACTTTTTTGAAGTACGAGATAGTTTTTCTAATTCTTTTTGCCGTTTCTCTCTTTGTTGCCGGTAAGCAGCACCAGAAAGTCATTTTCGTTTTTGTCCCGGCATTTTAGCCCTATAACCACTGGCACCGACGCGAAATGGAAATTAGCGCGAATGGCGCCGATAGGGCAGCACAGTACACACATGTAATCGTGATTTGAGTGATCGTGTCACAACGTGACATGATATTTTTCACGTCACACTCCTATTGCACTACTGTACTTGCCTTAGGTAAGGCGCTAGTCATTGGGGCGAGAGAGTTCCCCACGAGCTCGGATACACACTGGACCCAGCCCTGCTGGCATTTTCCCAGCGCTGAGGCCACCCAGCTGGGAGCCCGAGGGGCATGCAATGGAGAGAGCTCTGTGGCTGGAGGAGCCAAGGAAGAGGTGCTGGGCTTGCTGGGCAGATGCTGCTCCTCTCTGCCAGGTCGCTCGCCCCCTGCACGAGGGGAGGCAGAAGGAGACTCCAGGCACTGGAGTGCTGTGAGGGGCTGGGGAGGGAGGCAGCAGCCTCTGGGGCTCCAGCAGGCAGAAGCTCCCCAGGGGTCCTGGGGACCCTCCTGCCTGGCCCGACAATTACCTTGCTGCAGATCTGGCCTGAGGTGGAGTCATCTTCGGTCACCGCCGCTCCCAGGGCCAGGGGTTGGGGCTGCTGCTGTATCCCAGCCCTGCTCATCCTTGGGCTTCGCCTTGGCCCTGGCACAAGCTGGGCTCAGCCCGGGCTGCCGCTCCGCTCCCCTCTCCCCTCCCCTGGCAGGAGGCGGTGCAGAGAGGAGGAGGCAGAGGCAGGGACAAGCTGAGGAGGAGCAGACCTCCCGGGCGCCATGTACCCCCATCCTCTGCAGCCGGAGCAGAGCCGCGCTACCGGCTCCCGCCTGACGGGGGTGGCTGGCCGCTGCCCACGGGAGAGCGGTGCTAACAAGCCGAGGAGCGGCCCGTCCTCTGAAGCCGGGGCAGGGCCGCACTACTGGCTCCCGCCACTCTTCCGCTGTCAGCGCCCAACCCCCAGGCGGAGCCGGTAGCACGGCCCTGCCCCGGCTTCAGAGGACGGGCTGCTCCTCAGCTTGCAGCGGTGGGGACAAGCCAAGGAGGAGCTGTCCGTCCTCTGCAGCCGGGGCAGGGCCGCACTACCGGCTCCCGCCTGAGGGAGGGGTGGCCGCTGCCCACGGGAGAGTGGCGGGGACACGCTCCCCACTTAGCCGGCTCCATGCCCCGCCGCACCCGGCAGCAGAACAGGATCCAGCCCAGGTGAGGCCCCAGCATTTTGCCGTCCCATACATTTTGCCGCCCTAGGCACCAGCTTGTTTAGCTGGTGCCTAGAGCCGCCCCTGACCATGCTGCACCCCGGAAGCAGCCAGCAGGTCCGGCTCCTAGGCTGGGGGCTCACAATGCTCCGCAGGCAAGAACAGTTCGCAGAGCCTCCTGCCCCCTCTCCCCCCGCCTATTAGTGCTGGACCTACTGGCCGCTCCCGGGAAGCGCGCAATGCTGTGTTAGGACAGGCAGGCTGCACCACTGACAGGGAGCCGCCTGAGGTAAGCCCATGCCCAACCCCGAGCCCCTGCCACAGCCCAGAGCCCCCACCAAACCTGGAGTCCCCTTCTGCACCCTAAAGCCCTCATTCCTGGCCCCAGCCCAGAGCCCTCATACCCCCTGCAACTCAACCCCTTGCTCCAGCCCAGAGACCCCTCCCAAACCCTGAACCTCTCATTCCTGGCTCCACCCCAGAGCCCTCACCCTCTTCTGCACCCCAACCCCCTGCCTCAACCCGCAGCCCCCTCCCGCACTCCGAATCCCTTGGTCCCACTCCCCAGCCTGGAGCCCTCTCCTGCACCCAAAACCCGTCATTCCTAGCCCCACCCCAGAGCCCACACCCCCAGCCCAGAGCCGTATCCCCTTCCACACTCCAACCTCCTGCCTCAACCCACAGCCCCCTCCCACATTCTGAATACCTCGGCCCTACCCCCCAGTCTGGAGCCCCCTCCTGCACCCCAAGCCCCTCATCTCCCCCAGAGTCTGCACCCCCAGATGGAGCCCTCACCCCCTCCCGCGCCCCTTCCCTAGCCCAGTGAAAGTGAGTGAGGGTGGGGGAGAGCAAGCCGCTGAGGGAGGGGGAATGTAGTGAGTGGGGAGTGGGGCCTCGGGGAAGGGGGTGGGGCCTTGGGAAGGGGCGGGTGTAGGGTGTTTAGTTTTTTGCGATTAGAAAGTTGGCAACCTTAGTCTTGTCACGTGATACTAAACATTATCTTGGACTTCTTGTAACTTTCCACTAAAAGGAAAGGGGGGTCAAGTTTGGGAAACAAAGGATTCCCACCTTATGTAAATCTTATTTAAGGGTGGGGAGGCAAATAAGTCTCTCTTCCATTGCCTACCCAAAAAGAAAGACTGCTGAAAGTACCTGAAGGGACAAAGAAACTAACCTGAAGGGAAAGGCAGGGGTGAGTCCAGACTGAGGCAGGGGTCCAGTCTGTAAGAAAAATAACTGGAACTCTGAGCTACAGAAAGTCTGCATCCTGCCTAAATTCAACATTTAGGGTGAGAAATTACATTTTGCAACCTGTTTCTTTAGTGAATCAAGTTTAGTTTGCATGTTGTGTTTTATTTGATCAGTAATCTGCTTTGTTCTGTTTGATACCCATTTAACCACTTAAAAGCTGCCCTTTATAGTTAATAAAATTGATTTTGTTCATTATTAAACCCAGTTTCCATAATTTCTAACGGGGGCGGGCAAGAAGTTGTGCATATCTTCCTCCACATTGAGGGAGGGGGTGAATTTATGAGCTTACGTTGTATAGATTTCTCAGTAGCTCAAGACAATATACCTTTGGGTCTGCACTCCAAGGAAGGTGGACACCTAAGTGCTGGGGCAGGTCCCTTAAGCTGAGGCTTCCCAGAACTGATCTCAGTGTCCGTGTCGTTCTGCAGTTGAGTGTAGCCCTGCCTGTGTGTGCGCTGGAGAAGGCTTAAGAGCCTGGCTCAGCAAGACAAGGGGGCCCATGCTGGCAGAACAGGCGGACTCCGTGGTATCTCAGCACATCAGGTGGCATCTTGAAGGGGTCAACCAGTTACAGTTCCATCTTCAGAGAAGTCAATATAGTACATTTCGCAAACAATAAACTTGCTCAGGGGAAAAAAAGGTTAGGTTAAAAAGATTAGTGTCATTCTAACACTGGGATCCAAAGTCACACTTTTAGCACTGTTACATTTTACAGGTGGTAGACTGACTTTTACATATTTGAACACTTCTTTTAGTGGCTTCCTGATTATACATAAATATAATTGTAAATGTTTACACTGTAGTCAGCGTTGTGCTGTACTTCTATGGTAAGAAAGGACAACAAACACTTTTCAAGGAAATATTCTATTGCTCATTTCAAGAGAAAAATCAACAGTTAACATGTTTTCTACTGATCATTTTTGAACAATGTAGGAATAGACCTGTGACAGATAGGGCAACTTTCTGCAATGTCTTTGGGAGACTATATTATATTAAGTGTGTGAATTATTTTTGTATCATTGTGGGCCAGGGATTGTATGCACTGCATGAGTGGGGGAAGGTTACCACAGCTGCTCCAGGAAGTGAAAACAGTAGGGGATGATCAAGGCAAATTCACATGAACTTGAACAGCTTTTAAGGGAGTATTGCTCATGAAATAGGAAATGAACAAGATCCCATTGTCTCCAAAGTGCTATCTTTGTTTTGTTTCTTTTATTCAAAGTAAAAGATAAGACCTAATTTCCTTCTCTGGCAGCCAACCAGACAATTTGGCAGTCTCCCAAAGTGAATACTTTTGAAGGGAAATTAAACTAACCCCCCTAACAACTGATCAGAACAATGTATGTGGAGGGAAGGAAAGGATAAGGGGGGGGGTGTCACATGAACTCTTCTAAACAATGGAAGAAAAGTTCTATTGACTTAGGGCTGGATTATGATACCCTTACTTATAGTGAATCAGTGGAACTACTTGTGGATTAAAAGATGTTGCTTAACAATATTAAAAAAGGGTATCAGAATCTATACTTTGTGGAGTACAAATGACATGTCAACGTCCTATCAGGAAAGTGACCATGGGGTCCTATAGGAGGTGGAATTAAACTTCACATAGCACTCATGCTTTAAACACAAACATAATTAAGACATCATCAATTAAATACCTTTTCAAATTTGATTGGAAAACTGAGATTCAGTTTCCTCCATCTCCAAATGGTAGTTTGTTCCTTAACTGAGAAACATAAATTGTTCCTTAGTTTGTGAATATGCTAAAGATAGTGCCCCAAACATCTCTAACTTATATTTGAAGGATACAGAAAATCAGAATGTGATCTTGATGCTGTAATTCTGATGATCTTGAAACTAAGGCAATTTAATTATAGAAATAACTAAAAATCAATTTGTGTCCAACTTGCTTATTAGCTATTATTTAAGTTCATAAACCTTTGATGCCATGAAGTTAGATGATCACTTCCCAACACTGGTATTTTCAATTACTATAAGAAACGGTTTATTTTCTATGAAACTGATTTCATGCCTTTTGGCTATTTCTAATTTATTTTTTCCCCCAACTATCAAGATTCGGATTGCAGAAGCCATTACAGGAGGGCTTCTCTCCAAGGTGCATGTCATTCACATCAGGACACATGCAGCAACCTGTCACCCATGAAAAGTGCTCTCAGCGTGCAAGAAAACGAACTAAGGTATTGTACTTAGTAAAATCAAACATGTAGAGTGGCATTTATTGTCACTGGATAGCATTTAGTGTGTGTGTGTGTATGATATAATCAAGGATATAATCTGCAATTTATGTAAGGCCTTATGTTTCCATCATTAGGGTGATAGGGAGAATAGCAGATCCCTATAATCTATCAGTAGGAAGGTCAGGAAACCTACAGTACGGAACAGAAGTAGCTCCATAAAGCAATTAGGACTGTCAAGCAATTAAAAAAATTAATCACAATTAATCGCACGATTAATTGCACTATTAAACAATAATAGAATATAATTTATTTAAATATTTTTGGATGTTTTCTATATTTTCAAATATATTGATTTCAATTACAACACAGAGTACAAAGTGTACAGTGCTCACTTTATATTTATTTTTGATTACAAGTATTTGCACTGTAAGAAAACAAAAGAAATAGTATTTTTCAATTCACCTAATACAAGTATTGTAGTGCAATCTCTTTAGCATGAAAGTTGAACTTAAAATTGCAGAATTATGTACAAAAAAACTGCATTCAAAAATAAAACAAGGTAATCTTTTAGAGCCTGCAAGTCCATTCAGTCATAAGAACATAAGAACAAAAGAATGGCCGTACTGGGTCAGACCAAAGGTCCATCCAGCCCAGTATCCTGTCTACAGGTGCCCCAGAGGGAGTGAACCTAACAGGTAATGATCAAGTGATCTCTCTCCTGCCGTCTATCACCACCCTCTGACAAACAGAGGCTAGGGACACCATTCCTTATCGATCCTGGTTAATAGCCATTAATGGACTTCACCTCCATGAATTTATCCAGTTCTCTTTTAAACCCTGTTATAGTCCTAGCCTTCACAGCCTCCTCAGGCAAGGAGTTCCACAAGTTGACTGTGCGCTGTGTGAAGAAACTTCTTGTTTAGCCAATCGCTCAGACAAACAAATTTGTTTACATTTGAAGGATATAATGTTGCCTGCTTCTTGTTTACAATTTCACCTGAAAATGAGAACAGGCATTCTCATGGCACTGTTGTAGTTGGCGTCGCAAGATATTTATGTGCCAAATGCGCTAAAGATTCATACGTCCCTTCATGCTTCAACCACCATTCCAGGGGACATGTGTCCATACTGATGACGGGTTCTGCTCGATGACGATCCAAAGCAGTGCAGACTGACGCATGTTCATTTTCATTACCTGAGTCAGATGCCACCAGCAGAAGGTTGATTTTCTTTTTTGGTGGTTCGGGTTCTGTAGTTTCTGCATTGGAGTGTTGCTCTTTTAAGACTTCTGAACGCATGCTCCACACCACGTCCCTCTCAGATTTTGGAAGGCACTTCAGATTCTTTAACCTTGGGTCAAGTGCTTTAGCTATCGTTAGAAATCTCACATTGGTACCTTATTTGCGGTTTGTGAAATCTGCAGTGAAAGTATTCTTAAAATGAACAACGTGTGCTGGGTCATCATCTGAGACTGCTATAACATGAAATATATGGCAGAATGCGGGTAAAACAGAGCAGAGGACATACAATTTTCACCCAAGGAGTTCAGTCACAAATTTAATTAACACATTATTTTTTTTAAATGAGCGTCATGAGCATGGAAGCATGTCCTCTGGAATGGTGGCCAAAGCATGAAGGGCATATGAAGGTTTAGCATATCTGACATGTAAATACCTTGCAATGCCAGCTACAAAAGTGCCACACAAATGCCTATTCTCACTTTCTTGTGACGCTATAAACAAGAAGAGGGCAGCATTATCTCCTGTAAATGTAAACAAACTTGTTTGTCTTAGCAATTGGCTGAACAAGAAGTAGGACTGAGTGGACTTTTAGGCTCTGAAGTTTTACATTGTTTTGTTTTTGAGTGCAGTTATGTAACAAAACAAAATGTACATTTGTAAGTTCCATTTTCACAGCAAAGAGATTGCACTACAGTACTTGTATGAAGTGAATTGAAAAATACTATTTTTTTGTTTATAATTTTTACAGTGCAAATATTTGTAATAAAAATAATATACACTTTGATTTAAAATACAAAATACAATATACATGAAAATGTAGAAAAACATCCAAAATTTTTAATAAATTTCAATTGGTATTCTATTGTTTAACAGCATGATTAAAATAGTGATTAATTGTGATTAATTTTTTTAATCGTGATTAATTTTTTTGAGTTAACTGCGTGAGTTAACTGCGATTAACTGACAGCCCTAAAAGCAATACTATAGTTTGGCAACATTCTGATTTCTTAATATGCACACCATAGACAGCGGATCCTCAGTGGTCTGCAGTGGGGGTGCGGTCTGTGAAAATATAGGAGTTAAAGATAATCCAGCTTTTCACATGGGACCTATTTTTTAACTTCCTATAGAATAAAAATATTACCTAATACTGTTGCCTGAAGCAGCAATAAAATATGGATGGGTGGTGTTCATAGAAAACAGCACAGGTTCATACTTGTGTGATATGGATGAAAAAACCCTTTCTTACATTTTTTTCAATAACATTTTTACATTTCAAAATTAGAGCATCCTAAAGGTTGTACAATTGATTAGCTTCTCTATGTACTTTGATAGAGGAGAATTACTAAAAGTAATTTGTCTCCCATAAAATTGGTTTTGCAATTCAGGAGCTCCTTTTCTCCCATGTATAATTAGACCTCAGTTTTACACTCTGTAGGGGTATGTAAATCAAAAATGGAGTAGCTTTAAAATATGCAGGCACAACACAGATTGAACACAGTCAAAGTGCATACTGATAATACAAGGACAGATGGAATTTTGGGTCCTGTTAATTTTACTGTTTATCAAGGATCAAATCCTGAAGTCTTTAGTCCTTCCTCACTGAAATCATTGAGGGGTGAAAGCTTGGTTCCTATTGACTTCAGTGGGACCAGGATTTCACCCTGAGAGTTTTGCTTTAGGGAGGAGTACAGGAGTTAATGATGATAAAAGTACAAGATCACTTCTGATTTCTTGGTATACACAAAAAGTCCACGGAAATCAATGAGAGGTTTTATTTATATAAGGAATACAGGATCAGGCTCTAAGTACTTACAGGCACACATCTTGACATAGAAAATGTCAGCCCTAGCAGTTAAAGTTTGTCAAAGTTATAAGCTACTTGAAAACAGGGTCAAATAATGGGAAATGTCAGATAACCTTAACCATAGGCATCACTGTACACCATCCATAATATATCTCATTTTTATCTCAGTGAAATTAAACATTTAAAATACATCTGATGAATCAGAACCATATCTGAATCAGGTCAAATCATTTTGCAGGATTTTAGCTGCTTATTTCTCACTGATTTCACTAGAGTTCCTTGGTTAAAACTCTGCAACAGGGAACCACTGGAGGCAGTTGGGACTGACTCCTGTTATGTGATTGGGAGGGTTCCCTTCAGAAACCTGACCACAGGGGCTAGGAAATAAAGTTTCCATTTCCTGCCAGCACTCCTGTGTGTGAGGACCTCCTTGTTACAAACACTATTGGACTACCAGGGACTACTATCCTAAGGATCCTATACATCATGACTTATCTTCACCACAGTTACTATATAACAGAGGATTTACCCTTGCTTTACACCACATTGTGCTTCTGTGAACACCAGGGCCAGGGCCCTGGAAACTGGAGAACTATGGCACTAGAAAGCTGCTGCAACTATCCCTTTACAAAGGCCTTGGAAGTAGCCCGATCACTTACCCTCAGGAGCTGCAGAAATTACAGTGCTACATTATTGAATTGAGCAAATTTCATTTCAATGTAAATACCCATATCTAGTAAGTGAGAGCAACTCAGTAGCAACCTCTGCACTTCCCTGACCACAGCAGCTATGATTGTAATCAACCTTTATGTTACAGAGGGTCCTGTGGCACCTTTAAGACTAACAGAAGTATTGGGAGCATAAGCTTTCGTGGGTAAGAACCTCACGTGAGGCCACAGGACCCTCTGTTACTTTTTACAGATTCAGACTAACACGGCTACCCCTCTGATACTTAACCTTTATGTTGGTCTTGCAATAGTGGGGTGGAGGCTCCTTATTCCTTCCTCTTACTGCATGGCCATATAAGGAGTAGTCACAGTCTAGCCCCGAGTTATGAATAGGGCCCTACCAAATTCATGGACGTATCCTAGACCATGAAATAAGCCCTCTCCTGTGAAATCTAGCTATTGGAGGGGAGGCAGAGGGGCAGCCCTGGCGCTTCCTGCAGCCGGAGGAGGTATCCGGAGGTGAGGCTGATCTCCCCTGAAAGCAGACAGGCAGGGGAAGAGCAAGTCCTGTCCCTCCCCAGCCTGGCTAGAACTAGCAGCTAGGAGCCTCCGGCTGGAGCACTCCCAGCAGCACAGGGTTGGTCAGACCCACCTCCCCATCCAGGATCCTCCTCCGGCTGCAGGAAGCGCCGTGGCTGCTGCCTTCAAAGCCCAGCTCTGGCAGTGTAGAAGTGAGGATGGCAATCCTGCAACTGCCCTACAACAGATTTGAGCTCCCCCCCTCCACAACCCTCTCTTGGGTCAGGACCCCCACGGTTACAAAACATCATCATAACACAAGAACTAGGGGTCACCAAATGAAATTAATAGGCAGCAGGTTTAAAACAATCAAAAGGAAGTATTTCTTCACACAATGCACAATTAACCTGTGGAACTCCTTGCCAGAGGATGTTGTGAAGGCCAAGACTATAACAGGGTTCAAAAAAGAACTAGATAAATTCATGGAGGATAGGTCCATCAATGGCTATTAGCCAGGATGGGCAGGGATGGGGTCCCTAGCCTCTGTTTGCCAGAAGCTGGGATTGGGTGACAGGGGATGAATCACTTGGTAATTACCTGTTCTGTTCATTCCCTCTAAAGCACCTGGCATTGGCAACTGTTAGAAGACAGGATTCTGGGCTAGATGGACCTTTGGTCTGACCCAGTATGGCCATTCTTGTGTAACACTGTGAAATTTCAGATGTAAACATCTGAAAATATGAAATTGACTTATTTTTCAAATACTATGGCTGTGAAATTGACCAGAATGGACCGTGAATTTGGTAGGGCCCTAGTTATGAAAGAAGCCTGTATAAAAGTGAAAAATATACAGTACAAGGCATACAAATTCCAGACCCTGCCTCAAACTTCAAACTATACCCCAGTCCATCAAAGGGAAATGCGTGATAGGAACAGTGGATTTTGCAAATATTTGCTTTATGTCTATATGTTATATAAACTTCT